GGTAAGTGCGAGCGCCGCGCGGCCCGGCGCGCCTCACCCGGCCGGCGGCGGCCGCTTCCCGCCCGCCTGCCCCGTTGCCTCGTTTCAGGCCGCCGGCCCGGTGCCGCTGAGCCGCGAGGAGAAGCTGCAGCTGCGCAAGGAGAAGAAGCAGCAGAAGAAGAAGCGCCGCGAGGCGGACAGGGAGCCGCCGCCCGAGGCCGGGGCCGCGCCGCCGGGGGCTGGGCCCGGGCCGGGGGTGCCCGTGCGGCCGGAAAGCGCCTCCCGCGCGCTCTCCTCGGAGTCGCCCCCTGCTCCCTGCGGCGGCGCGCCGGGGCCGGGGCCCTCCGCGCCCGGGCCGGCTGAGCACAAGCCGGGCGGCGGCGGGGAGCGCGCGGCTCCGGGCAAGAGCAAGGCCGAGCAGCGGGCGGAGCGCCGGGCCAAGCAGGAGGCCGATCGGGCGCAGAAGCAGGCCCGGCGGGGCGAGCCGGGTTCGGGCGCCGCGCCCGCGAAGCCCCGCCCGGGGCCCGGCGAGGCTCAGCCAGGTGAGCTGCGGCCCGCGGCGGGGCGTGGGGGGGCGGCGACGGGGCGCCCGGGCGGCCGCCAGCCGCTCTTGCTGCCCTCCTCCTCCGCTCTCCTCCCGCCAGCGGTGAAGCGGCTCCCGGAGCACGTGCAGCTGGACGACCCGGCCGCCCAGAAGAAGCTGGCCAAGAAGCTGGAGCGCCAGCAGGTACGTGCCTCTGCTCCGTTTCACGTTCGGGCTCGGCCCGGGAGAGGGCGGGACGCTTTCCCACCAGGGGCCGCGGGAAGAGGCCCCGCGCGGGACGGGGCCTCTGGGCCGGCAGCACGTCCTGCCACAGGCCCCGGATCCCAATCCTGTGGGCAGGGCCTCTGCCCCGCGGGGCTTTGCCTTTAAAAACATGGTGTGGCAGGTCTGGGAAGGCCATAATTAGCTCTTAATAAACACCTCTTTGTCAGATCTTCAATGTGCTGATTTTGCATGTTTGTGCAGCCAGGGAACTTATGGCAAAAATTGTCTTTTGTTTTGTATGGGCGGAAGGTAAGGCACACTCTCCAACTGCAGGAGGTGACGAGTGGGGTGTCACAGGGGGCCGTCCTGGGACCAGCACTCTTCAACATTGTTGTTCGTGATTTAGATGAGGAAGCAGAAGGAAAGATACTTGAATTTGTAGATGACACAAAGCTGGGTGGAACAGCAAATACCCTGGAAGACAGAGATGAGAGTCAGGCGGAAATTCAATAGGGACAAATGGCAGGTCCTCCTCTTAGGGACAAATGCACCACTACAAGACGCACACCTGGCTCAGCACTTCTGCAAAGGAGAAGGATCTTGGGGCTGCTGTAGATCACAAGCGGAAGATGAGCCAACAATGTGGTGCGGCTGCAAAAAAGGGCAAATGCTACCACTTCCCAAACACGTGAAGTATGAGCTCGCCTGTACTCACTGCTAGTCAGCCCTTACCTGGAATCCTGTGTCCAGTTCTTGGTACCTAAATTTTAAAACGAAGCAGGAAAACTAGAAAGGGTGCAGAGGAGGGCGGCAAGGGAGATTCAGGGCCTGGAGGCAGAGCCCTGCGAGGAAAGATTGAGAGAACTGGGCATGTTCAACCTCAAGAAGACTTGTTATGATAGTGCTGTACAAGTACCTGAAGGGCTGCCACAAAGAGAAAGCACGGGATCTTCTCTCAATCATCCCATAGTACAGGACACAGAATGATGGGCTCAGGAGACAGGAAGGCAGACTCCAGTTGGCCATCAGGAAGTTCCTCGCTGCCAAAGCAGCATGCCAGTGGAACCTATCCCCTGGGGAGGTTGTGGGCTCTCCCTTGCTGGAGATGTTCAGAGAACATTTGAACAGCCTTCTAAATGCGATGGGGTAACTTGGTGTCCTGCAATGGCAGGGCGTTGGACCCAGTGGCTTTCTGGCCTTTTCTAGCTCTGCTATTCTATGAGTGTACGATTCTAAGTTGGTGACAAGTTTTTCAAATATCATTATGCTATTAGATATTATCTTGATACAGTTGAATGATAAACTTATGTGGAACACACAACTAAACTTTGCAGAAAGTGTAATTTGAAGACCTAGCCTCTAATTTTGATAATAGAAAGCCACATGGTCAAAGTTTAGTTCGCATTTAAGACATGTTTTATCTACATAAAGAAACTGCCCAAATAATAATTTGCTTGATTGGATTAAATATTCTTTTATGCCCTCTTGTGCCCAAATAGGTGGTCCTATTAAGTCAGGGACCCCCTCAGACTCATACCTTGCGTCCACGCATGCATGTAACACACGCAATTGTTTTCTTACTCGTGCGCACACACGTCCCTTGCCCACCCACCCACACAGTCCGCCAGTCCAAACACTCTTGCCCAGTTATGTAGGAAACAGTTTGGCTAGGGCCAGAAGGCGCTGCTTTGTCAAGATCCGTCTCTCCTGGGTGGCTTAGGGACTGGAGCAGCAGCTGCCCTTTCCCTTCCTGAGCGGTGAGACAAAGGGTACTTGGCTGCTGGATAGGCAGGCCAGGCACCATCAGCCCCCAGGCACCACCACTGCCAACTGAGGGGCTGGATCTAGCCCTCAGAGGAATGGCATGCTGGACCTGGAAGAGGCAGCGCTGGGACATGGCGAGCGGATGGCCCTTCAGCTCTCCTTCTTGGGGAAAGAAAGGATTCCTCCTAGGGGACCCCCTGGAAGCCACCCATCCCCAGCCCGACTTTTCTGCTCTTGTCCAGGTGCCTCTGAGGCTGGATTATGGCGCCAAGGTCAGCCTCTTCTCTCATCTGCATCAGTACAGTCGCAAAGAGCTACTAACACAGCACATGAGGTGGGTGCCTGCTTGTCTCTTTGGGGGTGTGGGGCTCTCAGAGCACTGTGGGGGCTTCTTTCAGGCAGACTGGAATTTGGAGGAGCAATGCCAGGGCAAGAGGGTCCTTCCCAGCTGCTCTGAAGGGATGCCTGGGATGGGGAGGAGGAAGGGGAGGGGGCGAACTCAGCACTCCCCTTCGCTGTCCTCCAGGACCTGGCAAGATCCGAGTCCTGCTGGCCTTTCCCTGCAGAGCTCGCTTTCCATGGTGTAACTATTCCTTTGCCTTCGCCTGCAAGCCATGTTACCTCGCATGCAAATCGCCCCAAGCCTGTTGTGGTGGCAGGTACTCAAATGATGCCTATTACAGACGAGCAACTTCTTACCTGCAGCATTCCGGCATCCACCATCCACCCTGCAGTGGTGCGGCTCGGCCTCCAGTACTCCCAGGGCATCATCAATGGCTCCAATGCCCGCTGCATTGCGCTCCTGAGGGTCTTCAAACAGGTGTGTGCCGGGGAGGCATGTGGGCTGCCACTGCGGAGCTCTGCTTGGCCTGGTTTGCCTCTCTCCGGACCTGGGGGAGTTGGCAGGAGAGGGAGACCCACTGGGGCTGGGAGCCTGTGCTCTGCATGGGCCTTCCTACAGAGCAAAGGGGGAGACTGCAGATATGTAAATTAAATGCGGATGCTTGGGAAGGTATTTGCTTATTTACTTATTTTGTATGGCATTGCTTTTCTTAAGTCGCAATATGGCTGCAGTGATGTAGTTAGCTTGCTCGTTCATGTGTGTCTTACAATGCACTGCTTGTTCCTAGTCGTTCACACGGTGGTGTTAACGATTCTTAGGTGCAAAAGAGTTACGGTTTTTATTGAGTTTGGCTGACATATGAGACTGTCCTACTTGGTCTTGCAGCAGGCTCTGACTAGTAGGACAATCTGGGAAAAGAAGGCGTGCCGCCCAGGCGGCAGGCAAGGACGCCGACAGGCAGGATTGGCCGGAGTATGAGCGGAGCTGCAACACAGTTGAACAGTTCTGTGCATTCACGTTTCAGAAGCAGGGCTGAGATGCAAAACAGAGCATCAGTCAGCAAGGTCTGGAAAGCAAGGCAGCAGGGATTGGAAGTGAAGGCCAGTGTTGCTTCCAGCCTTGACGTGCCCTCTGCTGGGGGCGTTTGACAGCCGGTCCCACGGAGCTTTTCTGGCGCGTTGCTGGCCTGAGCCTGGAGACACCAGCGTGACCCAGTTCAGGGGGCTGCTCTCCTGCTGTCTTCCCCTCCTGGCAGGGCTGCACCTGCAGCCATCTCCCCTGAGGACTCAAGGCCAAGTGCGACATGCATGTAGGCCAATAAAACACAGACCTTTTTCCTTGCCTCTCTCAGAGATGGAGAAGATTATTTTTCCAAGTATATTTTTGTCCGTTTCATCTAGATGAGGTTGAATAAATTGCCATAAAAGTATTTTTGCCAAAAAGAGAGTTTAAACATGGAGCTCTTTTCTCTCCTTGTTAATTTTATGCATTCTATCGCTAGGAAGCGTCAAATCCACACCATCCAGGTCTCCTACCTAGGAGGGTGTGCATATGCATTCCTGCTTGCCTTTAACTGGGAAGGGTGTTTTATTTGCTTTTATTCAGGGTCTGGGATCTTGCTGTTTAATTGCTGTGTTAAAAATAATTAGAAGCCATTTCTGAAACTAGGCTTCATTCTCTTTTCCCCCGCAAGTCCTTTTGTGCTAGTTGGTGCGGGTTGTAGTCCAGAACATGCGTCATCTTGTTGTTTTTTAAACCTACTTGGGTTGTCAGTGATGATATTTTTTTCTCCTTCTAAATGTAAAAACTTGCAGTTGCTTTTGGGGTGATCTTTCATGCAGTCAGAACTTCTCTCCATGCTTATTCCCAAGTAATCCTATCCTGGCTTCAGAGTGGGAAATCCATTTATGAGATGGATACTTTTACACTAGATGTTCTGCTTCTTGCTGTTTTCTGAGGTTTCAAAGGAATGCTCACGTGAAGAGATGCCTCCTTGGATGCTCAGAAGCTGCTGACATGCTTACCATTTTGGATGCTTTTGTGTGTGACTCTGTACTTACTCTCACTGCTGGCATTGGCTTGCTCCTGGATTCCAAAGACTGCTTTTTAGCATGGTGCTGAGAACATCATCATTTTGCTTGGTTGTGTGGATCTCCCTCCAATGTTTTGCATGCATGATCTTAAGCAGTGGCAATACTTGTATCTTGGTGGATTTTTGATGGTACATGATGATTTGCTGCTAATGGAGCAGGATAATGCAGGCGCAAAGGGATGCTTGCAGGTGTAGTTCTACCCCATTGCCACTTGTGCCCTCTTCTGTGTCCGGGGCCCGAGCCTGGATGCTGCTAAGGCCAGTGGAAATTTGCTGGACCTGGATCACTTTGCAAGCTTGCTGCATGCTTTGTCTGGAGGCCTGCTTATGAGTAATGGCATGCTAAATCTGAGAATCAAGTTTCCAGTAATTCCTCATGTACAGCGATGGTATTTCTCTTTGCGTAGAGGTATGTGCTAACGCCTTAGATTGTGTGGATCACAACAAATTGTGGCAAGTTCTTAGAGGTGGGAGTACCAGACCATCTTATTTGTCTCTTGAGAAACCTATATGCGGGTCAAGAAGCAACAGTGAGAACTGGACACGGAACCACTGATTGGTTCAAAATTGAGAAAGGAGTTCGGCAAGGCTGTATCCTGTCGCCCTGCCTATTTAACTTATATGCAGAGCACATCATGAGAAAGGCAGGCCTAGATGAATCACCAGTTGGAAGTAAGATTGCCGGGAGAAATATCAACAACCTCAGATATGCAGACGATACCACTCTCATGGCAGAAAGTGAAGAGGAACTAAAGAGCCTCTTGATGCGGGTGAAGGAGGAGAGCGCAAAAGCTGGCTTGAAACTCAACATTAAGAAAACTAAAGATCATGGCATCCGGTTCTCTCACTTCCTGGCAAATAGATGGGGAAGAAATGGAGGTAGTGACAGATTTTATTTTCCTGGGCTCCAAAATCGCCACAGATGGGGACTGCAGCCAAGAAAGTAAAAGACGCTTGCTCCTTGGGAGGAAAGCTATGGCAAATCTAGACAGCATACTAAAAAGCAGAGACATCACCCTGCCAACAAAAGTGCGTGTAGTCAAGGCTATGGTTTTCCCAGTTGTAATGTATGGCTGTGAAAGCTGGACCATAAGGAAGGCTGAGTGCCAAAGGATTGAGGCCTTTGAATTGTGGTGCTGGAGGAGACTCCTGCGAGTCCCTTGGACCGCAAGGCGATCAAACCGGTCAGTCCTAGAGGAGATCAACCCTGACTGCTCTTTAGAAGGCCAGATCCTGAAGATGAAACTCCAATACTTTGGCCACCTGATGAAGGAAGGACTCCCTGGAGAAGAGCCTGATGCTGGGAACGATTGAGGGCAAAAGAGGAAGGGGACGGCAGAGGATGAGGTGGCTGGATGGGGTCACTGGGGCAGTCGGCGTGAGCTTGGGTGGACTCCGGGAGATGGTGGAGGACAGGAAGACCTGGAGGAGTGTTGTCCATGGGGTCGCGATGTGTTGGACATGACTTTGTGACTAACAACAACAAGAGGTATAAAAATGCTTTTCTTAAACTAGCACATATTTTAAAAAATAAACCCAATACATTTGGATAAAATGAATTTGAAGGTTCATGAAAAAACTATAAGATGGGGTGCAGTTCCTTTAATTTTTTACCTGGTTTTTGCTTTCATCTTTTCACATTTGTCTAGGCCTGACAAACTGGAGGTGTTAGGCTACTAGAAGAAAATTTGGTGCCAGTCAATAAAGCTTTTCAGCTTTGATAGTCTCATTTAACCCGTGATGTGCCTGGGTTAGGTATGGGCAATAAGAATTTTGGCACAAACCAGGTGACTTCTGCCTATGCCAAATCCCATCTAGATGTAAAACACACCTTTCGGTTTCCAGAATTCTTTTTTTCCTGAATTTTGGGACTGACCTTGTATACCAGCATCATATTGCAATACTGACATATTTAAAAAAGCAAAATAGTAGTTTCTTGCTTCTTTTTCTGTACAAGTTTTTTCTTTTTGTTTGAGCTACACACTTAGTTGTAGTTAATACAACTACTTCAAAAGAATTATAGAAAGTGCTATGAGGGCCATGGGATTCAATGCCAGTTTATACCGTCCCACTCAGATGGCTGCCCAGCCTCTTTTTTGAATGTCTCCAGTGTGGGAGAGCCCCCCACCTCTCTGGGCAGCTGGTTCTACTGCCGTATTGCTCTGACACTGAGGAAGCTTTTCCTGATGTCCAGCCTGAACCTGGGTGGTGGCAGCTGGTTATTCCATGTCCTGCACTCTGGCATCAGCCAGAAGAGATCTT